ATTGCTCCGAAAGCAGTGGGGAGAACACATAAAAGTCAATAGCAAACTCCAAACCTAATATTTACCTATAGATCTTGTTTCGAACACACTCCATAGATTCCAATGGCTAGCTAGCTACGTTTTTTTTTTGCTCTCCCACTCTCTACAAAACGGGACAAACAAAGGACAACATATCTCTACAGATGGTGGTGGACATTCCGGTGGCCGAAGGAGTGCAGCTTATTGACAGCAATAATTCTTTTTTTCTTGCCGTTGCTGCTGTTTTGCTTTTAGGTTTGTTTTGCAATTGCCAGCACCAGAAAGCCAGTCAGCCGGCCAGCCCTTTAGTGAACCCCTTAGATATGTGTCTTTTGTTCCTCTAATATGACTATTGGTATGAATGACAAAAAAAAACTGTTCTTCCCAAGGATATGGTTGGCAATAACAGTTAAAACGAAATGTTTAAGTGTGGGAGTAACATCAGAAAACAGTAACAACAACACTCGCTATACTCTACTCTACGGAATCCGTGTTTCTCTGCTCGCAATCATATTCGTCCTGCGGCGAAAAACAAGAATGAAATAAATAAATATTGCCCTTGATTGGAAATGTTGATGTCGAATCCAATTCGATCGGATTCTATCATCGGCAGCAAACTGTTGAAAATCGCATTGGCATACCTGTGAAACATTTATGGCAGCTTCCTTGAAACAATTCCAGTTATGAATATCGAATGAAGTGTTTTTAAATTGGCCCCAAGACAGAACAGAAAACAGGAATAACAACATTTTATGACGTTATCTGTAGGGTATTGTTGGGGAATGAATGGGGGTATGGGGATAAGGAAGTTCGTAGTGAGGAAGTTGCAGAATAACTGAGACGAACAAATAATGATAAATGTTACCAAGTTTCAAAAGGAATTGCACGTTGCAGGTGCGTAGGTTGGACGATTGGTGGAAATAATTTTAATACCAATATTTTTAGAAATTGGTTTCAACAATATTTTTAGATATAAGAATTAAGAATTCGTTTCAGAAACTTTGGAGTCGATATAGAGGTGTTCTTTCATCTGTCTGTTTCTCTGACTGGCTGATGAGCACGGTAACTCCTTGGAGCACCCGATTTAGCCCAAACTTGGCACATAAAATTAAAATTATTGTCAAATTTGGATCGAGTTAGGAGGTGGACAATATCTGTCCACTCCTTCCGGCACTTCAGCCACAAAAGGTAAAAATTTGCGAAAAAAAAGAAAATATTTTACTTCAAAGACAGAGAAAGGATCATTCGATTTTGCGTAAGCATTTGCAAATCCCAAAATTTTTGACAGTGCTATGACAGGTATAAAAATTAAAAATATCGGTACACTCTAATTTTTAGAATAATTATGAAATGTTAAATAAGAGTCCGAATTTTCAAATTTTACACATTTCAATTTCTTATTAACATAAGATCAGGTGTGAAGGTAGGATATGTCGGTCACTCCTTCTGGTACCTCCCCCACAAGGGACAACATTTTGTATAATTGTATTTCTCATAAAATACGAGATATGCATAATATTCTTTTCAAATTTCACATATCCTAATATATCTAATAACACAAAACCTGGTGTAAAGATGAAATATGTCAGACCACTCCTTCTGGTACTATCCCACAATGGTCACAATTTTTAATATGTGTATCTTTCATAAAATACGAAATTAGCATCAGATTCTCTTTAAATTTCATGTATTTCAAAAAAAAAAAAAAAAAAACCCAAGTAAAAAACCAGAAGTTCGGCAGGGAATGCCGTCCACCATTTGAACGAATTTGGCAATTTTCAAAAAAAAAAAAAAAAAATAATAAAATCTGTTAAAAATTCTGTTAAAATATTAAAAATACCCAATGTAGCCGTTATATTACGGTATGTTGCATAGGCAACTTTTATCAAAACCCATTACCGAATATATGGAGCTATCATGGCCCATTTTCAATACCAACAGACATAATATACATTTCAGAAAAATGTCATCAACCTACTTCATTTTGTTCGGAAGCCAGAGTGATCACCACAGACGGGCAGACGGACGAACATCGCTAAATCGGCATAGAATTTTATGCTGATGAAGATTATTCAGGGTGATATGAAAAAACTGCAACCAACTTCAGACTGTTTTCATTTCTAAGCCACTCGTCCGACAGCTGTTAAAACTATTCCAGTGACAGCTCATTATATTGTTTACAAGCGTACAAAAGCAGCAAAAAAGTTATTCGTGATGGAATTCAAGCGTGATAGTGTGATTACTTCACATTTGGCTGGAAAACCACCAGTGGCTATCATCAGAGCACTCCATCATTAAAATGTGAATAAATCTTTTGTGTCTCGTACCATCGCTCGTTACCGTTACCGTGATACTGGTAGCGTAGTCCGACGTCAAGGAAGTGAACGGAAGAAAACAGCAACATCAGCAGAAATGGTTCGAAAAGTAAAGAATCGACTTGATCGAAACCAGCGTCGCAGTGGCCGACGCAATATCGCAATATTCCATTCGGCAAATATTGAAAAATGAGCTCGGGGTAAAGCCAAAAAGTGCAAGAACTTACACCACAACAGAAGGAAAATAGACACAAAAGGGATAAAGAGTTGCGTCACTTGGTCGAAAGTGGTGAAATGCCGTATTTGGTTTTCTCCAGCAGTTTGTGAACAACCAAAATGATCGTGTTTACTTGCCAAAGAGGTCAGCTGAAAATGTGCACCTTCGGTTAACCACCATAACTCAAGCGCCGGCCATGGTGATGGTGTTGGCCGTCATAACAGCCGATGGTCGCTATCCGCTCGTATTAATCGACCGAGGCATCAGAATAAATACCGAATACTATCGCGAAAATATTCTGCGCCCGCATACATTTTGGCCGTAGACCTTGGACATTCCAACAGGACTCATCACCATAGCACTCAGCACGCGCCACCCAAGAATGGTTACAAAATGAGGTTCCTCGCTTCATTTCCAGCGCACAATGGCCATCAAAATCTCCTGATACCAATATGTTGGATTATTGTGCCTGGAGTATTTTGAAAAGCAAGGTTGGCACTAAAAAATACCAAAGTGTTGATCACCTCAAGCAAGCGCTTCGGCGGGAATGGGCCAAATACCGCAGAGCAACATTCGGGCAACGTGTGACGGTTTCATTAGCCGTTTGAAGGCCATAGTTAGTGCCAAAGGTGACCAGTTCGAACAAATCTAAACTTATTCTGAAATTTGATGCTATTTCCGACATTTTTTCTTTCATTCAATAAAATTTAAAAATAACAAGTTAAAAAGCAGTAAATTCTGTTAAAATTTTAAAAATACCGAATATAGCCGTTATATTGGGGTCTATACGACGTGGACATACATAGGCATTATTTGTCATAAGCCATTACCATATTCAAATTCGAAACTTGAAATAAACTGTGAATAATGTAGCTAAAATCATCAAAATGTCGTATATAAGGAGGTGCCGTTAAATTGGAGTTATGCGAAGACCTGCACCAGCATAGACAATTTTCTGTCACAGGCTGTAGCATCCATTACGAACTTCAAATACCACATCTCAAACAATTTCGGTGGGTATTGTACCTAAAATCGTCAAAATACCGAATATAGGGAGGTACTAATATATGGAGCCTATACGTAGACCTGGACCCGCTCAGACAATTTTCTGTCACAGACTATAGTTCCCATAATGAACTTCAAATACCAATTTTTAAACAATTCCGGTGAATAATGTCGCTAAAATCATCAAAATACCGAATATTGGGAGGTACCGTTATATGAAGGCTACACGAAGACGTGGACCTGCACAGACAATTTTCTGTCTTAGGGGGTAGTATTCATTTTGAACTTCAAGTACCAAATTTGAAACAATTCCCGTGAATAATGTCGTTAAAATCATGAAAATACCGAATATCGGGAGGTGACGTTTTATGGGGGCTATACGAAGACATGGACCTGCACTGACAATTTTCTGTCTTAGGGTGTAGTATCCACTACGAACTTCAAATACCAAATTTTAAATTCCTTCCGGGAAAAAGGTCGCTAAAATCATCAAAATACCGAATATCGGGAGGTACCGTTATATGGGGGCTATACGAAGACATGGACTTGCACAGACAATCTTCTATCTTAGAGTGTAGTATCCATTTGAAACTTCATATACCAAATTTGAAACAATTCCGGTGAATAATGTCGCTAAAATCATCAAAATACCGAATATAGGGAGGTACCGTTATATGGGGGCTATAAGAAAACGTGGACCTACATGGCCCATTTACGAACTTAACCTGCCTACTGAAAAAATAAACATGTGTGCAAAATTTTAGGCTTCTATCTCAATTCATTCCAAAGATAGCGTGATTACAACAGACAGACAGACGGACAGACAGACAGACGGACAGACAGACAGACGGACATCGCTAAATCGACTTAGAATTTTACGCTGATCAAGAATATATGTACTTTGTTGGGTCTGACATGAGTATTTCGAGGAGTTACAAACGGAATGACAAAGTTAATATACCGTCCATAGTATGGTGGAGGGTATAAAGATGTAAAAATTATGGCGTTTGACTTTTTTGCAGTTTTTTATCTTACCGTGTATATGTGAAAAATTGTAGCCTTCTATATCAATTCGTACCAAAGATAGCGTGGTTATAGTACACAGACGGACGGAAAAACAGACAGACGGACATCAATAAATCGACTTAGAATTTTAGTTTTATCAAGCATTTATATACTTTTTTGGGTCTGAAGTATTTCGAGGGGTTACAAAGGGAATGACAAATCTAATGGATATTATGGTGGAGGGTACAGCTGTTATATAAGCAGTTTAGTATAAATTTGTTTACTTGGTTACTATATATTTTATTAAATTGAAATTACTATATTTATGTTTGCGTTTATTCACTTCAAAACGTCTTATCACGCCTCTAGCTACCGAAGTGTTGTAAATCAGTTTTGAAAGTTCAATAGATTAGCAGTAAGAATTGTGATTTAATGTATTTATTGATTATTTTAGCAAAGTTTCTTTAGAAATTTTCCCATATCAATAAGCCTCCCCATAAATTCGTTAGAAACGTTGAGTGCCTAAATATATTTTTTTAAATTCGATCATTTTAACTTATAACCTAAAAACTTAAATTTAATTCTTAAAATATCCCAACTTTTCCACCTCATTAACCATGGCGGTAATGGAGTCAAGTGTCTCCTCTCCGGTGGGTAAAATTTGACTGGCCGGCAATTCGAAACCAATCCAGGGTTGATTATCCGATGGACGCAGTTCATAGCAAAAGACCAATTTTGTGCCCACATTTTCATAGGCCCAATCAATGCTGCCACCGGAAGCGGGATATATGGCATCATAAATATTACCACCAGTATAAACGGTGCCGTATCTCTTGCTTATGGCGGCAACACTGGCATCATAGACTCGCTTGAAATCTTCATGATTGGAGGGCAGGGTGGCAGTGTGACCATAAGGATATAAGAGATATTGGGAATAGGAATGGAAGGATATGTACAAGGATATTTTTCCCTCCAAACTCTTAATGTATTCGGACAGAGAACGTGTTTCAATTTCCGAGAAAGCCGATGGGCCGGCATAGGTATCTGAACAGGGTATGTTACTGGAGCCCACAACATTCCATTCGAAACCCCAATTACGATTGGGATCCGAACCAAAACAGCTGCCATAAGGAGTACGAGTCTTGCGCCACAAACGATCTGTGGTGTGGGTGTAGACAAAACCATCTGGATTCACATGGGGGAAGATGTACCAATTATAGTTCTCTGCTATCTGTTTAACCCCCTCATCAGTGGAGGTGAGCAATTGATTGATTATGTATGTGGCCGTGGCGCCTGCAATCCATTCGCGAGCATGTATACCAGCTTCAATGAAGATTCCAGGCTTTTCACTTTTGGTTTTGGAAATTTTAACACCCAAAATGGAGCGACCTTGATATGATTTACCACCTTCAATTAGGGTGACCACACCGGGATAATTCACTGCCAATTGTTGTAGCCATCTATAGGTGTAGTCCAATTCATAATATTGAGTCCAGTCATAGGAAATGGCACGTTCCAAGGGATTTGGTTTAGCCACGTCTTCGAGGCTGGCATCCAGGCGCGTCTGCAGGTTAGTTTCCAATAACTCGTATACGATTTCATTGGTACCCAAAATTTCCAAAAAGTCCGGTATTTTATGGGGAGCCACCACAATTTTGAGCGGTTTGTTATTCCACTGAACATCGTTGAGGAAAATTATCGAATCACTTGAACTTTCTAAATTTTTCATCACTTCCATTTGTGTGGGATTTGAGGGAGTTACTTTATACACACGATAGTTGTCATAACGGGCACGCTCCCCAGAGCTCAAAGCGGCGCCCAACAGGAGGCAAAAGCCAATAACGAATTTAGTGTTGAACATTTTGAATAACAATGGTTCCTAGATCATACTACCCTTCTTTTATATAAAATCCATTCGGCCAAAGCTTTTTAATATTTTTATCTGTAGAGATAAGACCTGTCCGTCTATTCCTCCTAAAGCTTGCATTGTTTAGGTTGTAAATATTATTTTAATATTTATTTCCAATGTTTTCTTAGATTTTAAATTTTCTATAGATTATTTCCTAGGTTTCTTGATTGCAAAATTTGTTGTCTCACTTGGGCAGTTCTTATCATACGTCTAATGCCTTCTGGTCATAAATAGCATTGTTAGTAGTCCATCTGATAAGTATTTACTATCTGAACCAATCACTGTTAATCATTTACGAAAAATAAACAGATTGGTAGTCGGAATTCTGATTTTGGAATTATAATCAAGAATTATTTATGATTATACAAATTCGTTAGAAAACCCCTCAGACGATTTTGTTTGTAAACAAAATGAGTAATCCAATCGAAAAATGAAATGTATTTTTCTGTTATCAGATAATGGTTCCTGAGTTTCACATATCTGAGGAGTTAATATAAAATATGCAATTTCTAAAGAGAGCGAATTTCATTCCCTACCCGATATTGAGGATGAGTGTTCTTGAGAGTATACTATGTTTTTATATTCCACTTCTGGTTCTGTTTTTATTTTCTTCTGGACTTAGATGCACAATCTGCACAGTAACATCAAAACTTGTTACTCCTACTACACTCTATATCACAACACTGATTCCTACTCATTTTTTTTAAATAGGCGTAATAGCGAGAGCGTTATAAGTGCGTAGTAAACTTCTTGTAAATCGCGTACTCTTCGTTCTCCCACTCTTGAGTATTTTTCATCCGCGAGTATAATTAAGCAAATCTGAGTTTGCCAAATATTATTGGAAGAAAAAGCCAATAAGCAAAAGACAAAAGTCGGGAGGGCCGACTATATAATACCTTACACCACAAAGCACATTTAGTAGAGCTCCCGTAAAAAAAGAATTTATTTCAAGTAGATCATACCACCTATCAACATTTGGAGTGCATGATATCACTTGGAGAAGAATTATATTCAAACAAGTAAAAAAGCTGTAAGTTCGGCCGGGTCGAACTTTGAATACCCTCCACCATTTGATACAAATTTAACAATTTTCAAAAAAATGAAATCCGTTAAAAATTCTGTTAAAATCTTGAAAATACCGAATGTAGCCGTATATTAGAATCTATAAGACGACGTGGACCTGCATAGGCAACTTTTGTCACAAGATATTACAATATTCAAATGCTAAACTTGAAAAAAAAATTGTTTAAAATGTAGCTAAAATCACCAAAATACCGAATATAGGGAAGCACCATGGTGGTTATAAAACGGATCTGCACAGACAAATTTCTGTCATAGGCTGTAGTATTCGTTATGAAATTCGAATACCAAATTTGAAAAAAGTTCCGGTAAAAATGTCGCTAAAATCATCAAAATACCGAATATCAAGAGGTACGAAGACGTGAACCTACATGGCCCATTTTCAATACCAAAAGTCCTGCAGACATAATACACATTTGAAACCTACTTCATTTCGTACGGGGGCTAGAGTGATTTCCACAGACGGACAGACGGACGGACATTGATAAATCGACATAGAAATTTATGCTGATCAAGAATATATATACTTTGTGGGGTCTAAAATGTACATTTCGAGGTGTTACAAACGGAAAGACAAACTTAATATACCCTCCATACTATGGTGGAGGGTATAAAAAATATTTATCGGAGCCGAGTTGCACAAAATGGAAACGTGCATTCCGAAATTCACCCATTTGGGTTTATATTAGCCATTTTTTTCCACAATAAACCTGAAATCGGATTAAGGATATATATGGGAGCTATATCCAAATTTTAGCTCTTCTCGATAAAACTTGGCAAAGGTATGACCGAGCTGTATAAGATATCTGGTACCAAATATCATTGTTGTTTCTTCTTCCAAATCGGCAGAAACATATATATGGGAGCTATAGTTATAACTTAACCGATTTGATTTACTGGTTTATAGGATGAATTCAGTCGTGATTGCCAAGATTTAGGACTTTTGGATTGATATTGGCTATTTGGTGCACAATTTACCAAAAATCGGGTGAGGATATATATGTGTGGTTGATATATTCAAATCTGAACCGATCTTGACAAAATTTGATAAACTTATTTCAGAGCTGTATCTGATATCTGGTACCAAATGTCATTGTTGTGGAATGCATATTATGCTTGTGAAGGCATTTAAACCACAAATCGGATAAAACATATATATGGGGGTTATAGCTATATTTGAACCGATTTACACCAAATAACGGTACCCCCCGAAATTCGATGATTTTAGCCCGATATTCGATGATTTAGCCATATTAATTTAAAATCCACACATGGAGTTCCTTCTGATTACTTTACCCCCTGAAAGAGAATTTTCTTTATAGGTCTACATTTTGGTATAACATCCATATAATGCTACCCCGAAATATTCGGTATTTCCAGGATTTTCATGATACTATTCACCGGAATCGCGCCAAATTTCATATTTAAAGTACGTAATTGGTACTACAACCAATGACTGAAAATTGTCTATGCAGGTCCACTTAGTTATCTAGCATCACGATGTGAAAGATTTTAATACAAATTTCTGGAAATGTTTGTAGTTGTATTAATATTTTCTCATGTGTATTTATACACAGGGTGATATAAAAAAATGCACCAAAGTCAAACGCCATAACTTTTCCTTTTTTTTAAATTTATTTGACAAAAGGAAAAAATGTCGGTAATAGCATCAAGTTTTAGAATAAGTTTAGATATGTTCGAATTGGTCACCTATTGCACGAATTATGGCTTTCAAACGGCCAATGAAACCGTCACATGCTGCCCGAATGTTGCTCTGCGGTATTTTGGCCCATTCCCAGCGAAGCGCTTGCTTGGGGTGATCGACACTTTAGTATTTTTTAGTGCCAACCTTGCTTTCTAAAATACTCCAGACAGATTTTGGTGGCCATTGTGCGCTGGAAATGAAATGAGGAACCTCATTTTGCAACCATTCTTGGGTGGCGGGTGTTGAGTGCGACGGTGCTGAGTCCTCTTGGAATATCCAAGTTCTGCGGCCAAGATGTTTACGCTACCAAGGCTTTAATACACCCTCCAGAATATTTTCGCGATAATATTCGTCATTTATTCTAATGCCACGGTCGATTAATACGAGCGGAGAGCGACCATCGGCTGTTAATGCGAGCCACACCATCACCATGGGCGGCGGTTGAGTTCCCAAGGCTTTAATACACCCTCCAGAATATTTTCGCGATAATATTCGGCATTTATTCTGATGCCACGGTCGATTAATACGAGCGGAGACCGATCATCGGCTGTTATGGCGGCCCATGCTATCAGCATGGCCGGCGCTTGAGTTCTGTTGGCCAACCGAAGGTGCACATTTTCAGCTGACCTCTTTGGCAAGAAAACATGATCATTTTGATTATTTACAAACAGCTGGACAACGAATGTTTTTTTCATCGGAGAAAACCAAATTCGGCAGTTCAACACTTTCGGTCAAGCGAAGCAACTATTAGCTCTTTTAAGTCTATTTTCTTTCTGTTGCGCTGTAAGTTCTTGCTGTTTTTGGAATTTCAATGGCTTTACCACGAGCTCATTTTTTAATATTTGCCGAATGGAATATTGCGATATGTTCAGCTCACGAGCCATTTTTCGGCCACTGCACAAGGGTTTCGATCAAGTCGCTTCTTTACTTTTCGAACCATTTCAGCTGATGTAGTTGTTTTCTTCCGTTCACTTCCTTAACGTCGGGCTACGCTACCAATATCACGGAAACGGGCATTGGTACGAGACACAAAAGATTTATTCACCTTTAAATACTGGAGTGCTCTAACGATAGCCACTTGTGGGTTTCCAGCCAAATATAAAGAAATCACACTATCACGCTTGAATTTCGTCACGAATAACTTTTTTTCTGCACAATTATCAAAAAAATGCTTTTCTACGCTTGAAAACTATATAATAAATTGTCACTGGAATAATTTTAACAGAGTGGCGTAGAAATGACAGCAGTCTGAAGTTGGTTGCAGTTTTTTCATCTCACCCTGTATTACTAGATCAATGGGCTAGAAACATTTATTTAACAAGTCATATTTTACCCCATCAAATTATATCAACACACTGTCCTGAGCTTAAGTGTTTTATGTAACAAATACGCTCCTGACTATAACTCCGACAACATAAATAGTTCTTACTATGGCAATATGGTTATACTCCCACAGCGTATGAGAACACAAACACCAACATACATTTCTTTGTATGCGTTTCTTGGAACCTTTGTTTTATTCCAGGAGTCGATTTTAATACCTTACCCAGTAATGTGTGTATGTATATGTTTGTATATGCAATGATATAATAACTCAACTAGTGGTTAATCAAGATAAAATTCCACCATACCACACATTCTGTTGACACATATCTGTAGGTGGGTATGTTTGGCTGTATACAACTCCTCCATGTAACAGGAATATGAGCCTAGGCATATCCTTTTTTTCTTGTTTTCTCCAAAGGGTATTTGCTTTGCTCCTTTGACGCTGTATAATAAATTGTTATAACTAATAAATAAATCCAATTTTTAATTAAATAAAAAATTCCATTTACAACTTTTTTCCTTTTGATGTCTAATAAATCAGAACACAACACGACCGACAGACGGAAACTTCGTGATTGTCTTTCATATGACAGCGAACGGTAAAAAATAACAGATTTCTGAGGACAAGGACCTTAGATTGTGAGATTTTCAAAATAGACGTGAAATATAACCCTTTGGTGAAAATATTTAACGATATGTGTGAGAGTGTGTGTGGGGGGGTATGTATGTTTGCGTGGTATCGATATCATCAACCCGGTGATGTCAAATAACACTTGTTGATTGCTGGCATATTGTCAATTTACTTCAATGTAATTGTTGTTGTTGTCATTGTCAGCAGCACAGCTA